TCACACATAAAACTAAGACTGGACCTACAGGAATCCTGTCTTTTCCCTAATTCCCTAGAGGAGACGGTGCTGGCAGGTACAAAGACGGGGAAAGGGATCCTTAGGTTGTAAGCTATCTGCCCAGCTACGTTTAAAACTCTATGAAAACCGGTCCTTCTGAAATAACCCCTACTGAACCAGAAATGAATCAACTTGTAAAAGAAGTTATGAGAAAGAGAAAGAGAAAGAGAAAAGCGAAATCCTATTGGGAGACAGAGCCTTCTCTTCTCCCCCCCGAGGTAAGCCCCCAAAAGGTGCTCCAGCGACCTGCATACGAGATGAGGAAACTCACCCTCGGGGCTGCAGCTTCCGGGCAAGTAGGGCTGGGACTTGGGCTCCCCGCGCGCCAGCCCCGGGGACCTCTCCGCGCTCTCCAGCTTCGGCAGCACGACCCCGCTCGTTGCAGTGGACTGCTCCCCCGAGGCTGCGGGAGGACTGGGGGTCTCTCCGCGCCCGAGACCGCGCTCCGAACTTTGGGGGAGCGCGAGTGGGTCTCTGGGAACAGCGGGAACAGCCAGCGGCGGCCCGAGCTGCGGTGGCGAAGAGCCCAAGTGGACCACGGTGTTGCGGGACCGCGCCAGCGCGGAGGAGACAGAGCCCATCTCCGGGGGCCACGACAGGCTTCCCGCCCCCCCCCACACACACACCCCTGGCCTTCCAAAGCCTTACTCCCTCCAGGCGCCGGGCACCCCAGCTGCAGGCTCCACCTGTGACCTCGCCAGCGGCTGCCCTCCTCCGCGGGGGAGGAGAAGGCTTCAGGGAGGGAGGGCGTCGCCCACCCCAGGAGCACTCAGAGCAACCTGGGTGGTGCCGGCGCCTGTCCAGCAGCCCCGGGTGATGGGGACACGTGGGGAGGAGGTAGATATACCGAGGTCCTCCGGATGCTCTGGGGAAGAAGAGGGGGCGTGGCATAAGCGAACGCTACTTTTTCTCTACTTTGTGCACTTGCTTCCTTTCTTCCTGGCACTCTGGGCCGCTTCAGTTCCCGGAGAGGATGGAAGATTTAGCGAGGGCGGAGGAAGAGTCAAGATTGTTTTCTTCTCGATTACTCTTCTTAAAGCGAATGCCACTGCTTTTGTTGGCTGTGCTCCTCTGAGGGAGCCCTGCTGGCAGCTGCCTCTCCGGCTGGCTTGGCCATCCTCCTCCCCACAGTGTTTTCTCCAGTGCCACTCACCCTGGGCGTCTCCCCTTTCTGGCCACCAAGACTGCCCACCATTCCTGGTGGAGGCTGAGGTCAGGAGGTGGAAGTGCAAGAGGAGTCTGCTCTTGGGACTTCGGCTCTGGAGAGCAAACAGGCAGGCGCCAGCAGGCCCTGGGGGCTCCGAAGACGGAAGCCAGAGCAGCCATGGGCCCTATTAATAGGCCCGCGTCCGCTGGCTGAGATGAGGCCATTGGTCCCATCTTCTATCTGGCAGCAATGAAAATAGGGAAGGCAGAAATAGGAAGAGATGCCTGGGATGATGCTTCAGCTAAAATGTTTCCAGGGAGGTTTTGTGCCTTGCCCAAGGTCTCGAAGGCATTTACTGACGTAGCTGGATCCTGTGGTACTCCTCTTTCTAGATAGGGTGGAAGATTCCTACTGCTCCCTTTCCAAAGGTTTTCAGGCACTGAATTATAAAACATGACAATTGTGCAATGCACAAGAATATCTGAGGTTGCAAAGTTCGAGGGGACAGTGACCATAGGTCATTCCTCACCTAGACGGGGAACCTCCCTTTTTCTCCATCCAGGATCTTTTTGTTTTAATGTCAGCAGGCTATGACTGGACACCATCCTCTGTAAAATATCACATACAGGGCCGGGGATTTAGCTCAGTGGGTCTGGTGCCTGCCGCAAACGTGCAAGGTTCCGAGTTTGATCCCCGGGACCAAAAAAAAAAAAAAAAAAAAAAAATCACATACAGAAGTAAATGTAAAGTAGTATTATCATAGAGGTGGCTTCCAGAACCAATCAGATCAACAAAACCCAAAAACGGGAGGGAACAAGGGTTTTGGAATCCTCCACTGGTGTTTAGAGAACAGACAAGTCAGAGGATTTGCCAGGATGGGAAATTATCGGACAGTCCATCTCTCTTTCCCTTTGGCCTTGTTTCCAGTGAGGTGGGCAGAAGCTGAAATCCTAGGCTCTGAGCCAACAGTACACAGAGGATGCTCCACCATTTGAGTGTATACCACTATGCTGTTAGTTACTTTTCTTGTTACTGAGACAAAATACCTAACACTAAAGTTAAAGGGAGAAAGGTTTATTTAGCTTCCAGTTTATAGAGGCTTCAGTCCATAATCAGCTGGCTCGAAGACAGAGTGGCATAGCAAACAGGCATCGCAGAGGAGAAACAGTTCATAGTGGACAGAAGGTAGCAAAACAAGCAAGGGATGACCACAGCTCTTTCTATCCCTTATATCTTATCCAGGCTACTTAAGCCAGGTTACACTCATACCTTTAATTCTGGTGCCTTTGATCTTAGCATTCCACATGAATCAATTCTAGTGTCACATACTCTAGATCCAGCCACCTTTGAAAAAGCCCACTTATGACTCAGTGAGACTTTGGGGGTCTCATTTAAACACAAGCCATAATGCATACCCTCTACACCTTGAAAGGGCTCAGGGAGTCTTCTCACTTCTGACAGCATCAGGGACACATCTCCTCAGGACAGGAAAAAAGAATGCAACAGGGCCCACCTACCCATGTATAGTACTCTAGAGAAATAGAATCAATAGGACATACAGATGTAGGTATAAAGATATAGAGAAGGATTGAGATTAACTATAAGAAATTGACTTGCATAGTTATGGAAGGTAAAGTGACCCCTGACCTGTAGTTTGCAAACTGAAGACTCATAAAAGTCTGTGATGTAGTTCCAGTTCAATTCCAAAGGACTGAGAACCAGGAGAACAACAGTATAAACTCCAGTCTGAATCTGAATCTGATAGCAGAAGGCCAATGACTCTGCTTGTGAACAGCCAGGCAGACAGAACAATTCTTTATTCTACCTTTTTGTTCTGTTCAGATCTCCAAGAAATTGAGTGAAGTCAACCAGCCTTGAAGAGAGTAATCTGCTTTACATAGTCCACCAATTTCAATGTAATCTCATCCAGAAACAATCTAGAATTGGCCAAATGTCTGTGCACCCCATGCACAGCCCAGTTAACATATAAACGTAGTCACTGCACCATTTATTTATATGGCTATGGTAATTTATTTACAATTTTTAATCTCTTTTTATTCTTTCCTCACTTATTGATGGACTAACAAGCCTTGATATAAATCCTCACTCCAGGAAAACCCTGTGAAAAAGAGAGCTCCTAGGCAGGTATTTCTTATTCTTGAATCTTGATTTGGTTTTCCTGCCAACCAGACATGGGCAACTTCATTGCTATAATTTGGACATGGTTCATCCCCAACAGGTTCATGTGCTGGAGAGTTGATCCCAGTGTGGTGGTTTTGGGCAGTGGAAATGGTAAGAGGTGGGCCTAATAGAAGGTAATTAGGTCATGGGGGCTCCACACTCAACAAGGATTAATGCTGTCTCCTGGGAGTGGGTCAGGTTTCATAGAAGTGGATCAGTTTCATGACAGTGAGCTATTATAACACAAGTGCCCTTGCCCTCTCCACATCTATTATTTCCTGTCCTGGTGATGTGATCTCTCGCTCTTTCATGTGTTCCCACAATGACGTCATCAGCCATAGTGTGATATAGCCAGAAAGTCCTCACCAGAGCTGAGAAGATGCTAGGCCTATGCTGTTGGAAGGCTGGCCTATTTTCAGGTGGGTCTACCTGCTGGCTCAGGGCAGGGACCTGGAAGAAGTTCACCAAAGTTTACTCCACAAGCATTTCATCCCATTGATCATTATTGATGAAACGGTTCAGGTGATCTTTTTTTTTTTTTTGGTACTGGGGAATCGAACTCTGGTCCTTGCGCTTGCGCAGCAGGTGGCAAAACCACTGAGCTAAATCCCCGGCCCTCAGCTAATCATTTATAAGGCAAAGAATTGGAACAGGGAGGGTCTGTGACCAACTTTCTCCTAAGCAAGCAAGAGGGAATCCATTAGTCTTCTCTAAGGCTAGGAGGAAGGGTGGTTTTTGCAGAGAACTGTTTTCCAGAACACAGAAGGATGGAGTGCCATGGACTGAATGTTTGTGTCACTCTAATTGACATTTTGAAGCTGTAATCAGCATTGTGAGGGTATTTGGAGGTGGTATCCTTGAGAAGTAGGTAGGGTTAGGTTAGGTCATAAGAGTAGAACCAACCTTGGGGTAAACTATTGGTTTCTGACTGAACATGTATCTCCTGATTTTCAAATTGTTGTAGCCAGGGTTTGCAAGGGAATAGATTTAATACAAGACACAGAATATACAGGATTATTATTTCTTTGTTAATTTTATTTTAAACATTTTATTTGTTTTTATTAGTATACATTTGTAGTACATGCAGTTTGCAATCATCTTGGGGAGTGGGTTAATGTATATAATACAACTTGTTTCTTTTTTAAATTCCTTTCCCTCTCCATTCCTCTTGCCTCTAATTCCCCTTTCATTATTTCATTCTTGTTGCTATTAATAATCTTAGTTCATGTTTATGGCATATAATGTTTATATTTATCGAAGTTTTCAGGTTCTTGTATATGGCATACTTTTATTCTACTTATGTTTCCTTCCCCTTCCCTCCACCCCCCATCCTTAGTCTCTTGGATGCTTTCCCATTTGCAAAAGATCCATCCCCTTGTCTTCTTCTACTCTTCCTTTATTTTTCTCTTAGTTTTGTACTTTGCCTTGCTCAAATGAGAGATACCATAGGGTATTTAAGTTTGTATGCATGGTTTATTTCACTCAACATTATATTTTCCAAGTGCATCCATTTTCCTACAGATGTCTCAAATTTGTTCTTCTTTATAGCTAAGTAGTATTCCATTATGTATAGATGCCACATTTTCTTTATCTAATTGTCTATTGATGGGTGTACAGGCTGCTTCCAGGATTTATTCATTATGAATTGTGCTGTTATAAACATTGGTGTTCACATAGAGTATTGCTGTAGTATGATGTCTTAAGCTTTTTGGGGAAGATAACTAGAAGGAGGAAGCTGGGTCATACGGAATTTCTAATTTTAGTTCTTTGAGAAATCTCCATATCGATTTCATCATGCTTATATAAGTTTACATTCCCAACAACAGTGTGGGAGGTTTCCTTTTTCAGGGTAGGAGGGTTCCTTTTTCACCACAGCCTCAATAGTATTTGTTATTTTTTGATTTCTTGATGATTGCCATTCTTTCTGGAGTAATATGGAATCTTAGGATTGGTTTAATCTGCATTTCTCTAATGACCAGAGATGTTGAATATTTTTTCATATATTTGTTGGCCATTTGTATTTCTTCCTCTGTGAAGTATCCATTCATTTCACTTGCCCAATAAAATAGTTTCTGTTCATGCTTTGTTTCCTCATGGCACTGCATACCTCAGGAAGACAGGACATATTCTTGGTTATAGTATTCGTGGGAAGAGGTCAGTGTCTGCCTGGCACTCAGGGAGTATTGCTCAATCTGCTTGCTGAAGTTCATCTCTGGGTGACCCCTCCACCTCCTGGTGGTTCCCTAGCCTCCGAACATGGCCATTGGCTCTGCTTCGAGGGTGACCTTTGAAAGCAAGCGCCAGCCATTCACAGCCCTGTTGCCAGGACCTGTGCTCTACAGGATTATTTTAAAATATTCACCTAAAAAGTCAAATGCAAAGGAGGGCAAGAGATCTGTCCACACAACAGAGACATGAAGAATCCAGTCAACAGTCTGGGTTCTATGGCAATGTCCTCCATGAGTCCCACTGAAGGCCCAGAGCCCAAGGCAATGTCTCATGCAAGTCCATATCAAGGATCTGCACTGAGAAGGTCCAAAGGCCAGTGGTGGAAGCTAGAAAGTCTGCGTCAACAGGGTGAAGGATCTGTGACACTAGGCTGAGGGATCTGCACTGGACCCAGGAAGTGACGCTCAAGGTGAAGATCAGAGCTCCCCTGACAAGAACAGTAGCCATCCAAGGTGACAGGACTCAAGCTCCTCCTCTGATGAGAACAGCCAAGTTTATATCAGGAAAACCAGCCTCAGCAAGCTTCTCCAAGATAATCAATAGCAAATGATCTTTCCCTCTAGTTCTCTTTTTATGCCATTAGCAACAATCCTCAGGTGGGTCTTCCAAGCCCAGAACCATGCTGATTCCGTTCAGCTGAGTGTTCCAAGTTGACCATTAGTTTATCCACCACACAAATCTATTTGGTACCTGTATGAAAATGGTCTTTGCTTTTATTTTAACCTTGCTTATAATTTGTTGGTTTACAGTACCCAGTAGGTTCTCAAAGTGTTCTTGCTTGTCCTCTGTCTCTTCATTCATGCAGAGGTCGATGAATCTGCATGAAAAACATTAACTGGCTAAGATTTCTTTAGAAATTGTACAAGTGCCCCCTCAAAGGTAAGGAAGATTATTTTTTAAAGACAAAGAGGGGGACTAATGGGATGAGGTAAAGTGACTTACTTTGAATAATTTTCTGTTGGCTTTGTTATTACGTAACTTCTTTTGAACAAATTTAGACAAGTGCTGGATTCTGTTTATACATGACTGCTTGCTAAGGGGATATTGTGAGTGGGTCATCAGTAAGAAGTAAGTCCTTTGAACCAGTCAGTGGGGCAGCAGAAGTTCCAGGATTAGAAACTGTCACAATCTGAAGTCTTGTAAAGCACATTCTTCTGGAACAGCAGTCTTTATCTGGAAGTTGTAGGTTGCAGGATTTGTGTCTTTAAGGCAAAATGCAGCTCATCAAATTTGATCTCTGAATCTCACACAGAAAATTTTCAGATGTTGACCAGACTGCACCGTGACAGTTAAACTTAATTATTAACGTGATTGGATTGAGACCGCTAAATAGATTATCAGATCATAGGACTGATGTTCATAGCTGGATGTGCTGTTAGGAGGTGGCCCAGCTGGAGATGGGTCATGGGTGGGTGTGCCTTTGAAGGGCATATCTCTTGGTGCTGCTCTTCCCCTTGCTCTGTTTCCTGGGCACTGTGAACTAAACAATGTGTTCCACCATGCTCTTGTACTGTGATGTTCCTGTCTTGGAGCCAGCCAACCATGGACTAAACCATTTGAAACTGTGAACAAAACTCAACTTCTTCTTCAAGATGTGGATGCCAGGTATTTTGTTCCAGTAATTGAAAAGCTGAGTGCTACATGCAACTATCTTAGCTTTTGTTTTTACTACCCTAGACAGAGCCATGTATATTATGTATGCTTTATCTCCCTTATTCCTTACAATAATCTTCATGGTACAAATATTATTATCTTTGTTTTACAGATGCAAACTCTGAGGGTCAGTGACATGAAACAATTTCCCCAAGACCCAACACCAGAGCCTAGGTCATTAACTTGAAATCATGTTCATCATGTTCAAAGAAAATAGTAGCTCCCAAAGGAACCTTAAAGAGCCCAGAGTCTTTGATCAAGTTGGGGAGACTAAGAGTCTGCCAACATGCTAGTGGTAGCAGAGTTTACTGTAGAGACCAAGTGTTTCACCCCAGACTCCATCTCATTCAAACATGTCAACTACCTCTTTTCACCAGCTTCTCAACTCTGTCTTGTCATCCTTACTTTAACTGTTGTCTGGTGAAGTAATCTAGACTATTCCCAGAAAATTTCACAGGGTTCCAGAGAAGGTCTCTAACTCAGGCTCAAATTATTTCAAGTCAAGTCAGAACAAACATGAGAAACGAAGCAGCTCTACAGGTCTCTTTTTACATCAATTAGATACCAACAACCTTTTATGATCAATCAAATGCGGGACTAGACATGGCTCCTGCCCATGGAAATAAAATGTAATGCTGGGAGCCTGAGATGTACCACAGGCATTGGAAAACAAAAGGGAACATAATAGAGTTCTAAAAGGTCAGAGGAGGACCTGCCCCAGGGAAATCTGAGAGCTAGAGAAAGTTTGGGAGGCAGTGTTCTGGCCTTGTTACTGCACTGCTAAGCCTCTGGGTATAGTACAAGAATAAACATCTCAGGTGTTGCTCTTAAAAACAATGACACACAGGATGTTTTTCTGCTACATGCTGAATTATTTCATTTGCTTTGTGATATCCTTGTAAATTAAAAAGATTAAATGAATTATTCCCTCTCATTGTATAGTCAAACAAAACAAGGCTTCAAAGCTAAAATAAATTTTCCAAACCTAAGTGATGGGTGGGAATAGACACAGGTCTAGCTCTCAGGTCTTCTGAATCCAATTAATGTTCTGACTGCTATAGAAACATTTAAAAATATAAATTTGAATTGAACCAACTACTCCAACTTTTCATCTAGTATAACCCCCAGAAGTCTCTAACAAAACAAAAGGTAAAATTAAAAGTTACATTCCTCAATTAATACCTCAGCAATGGGGAGTCCATCACTTGTGAAAATATATTCTTTTTTCTGGTTATTGAAGAGATATATAGCCATGGGAGAAAATTGGGAAACTGTAAAGAAACATAAAGAATAAAATATAAATTGCTCATAATTCTACCACACAGATATATTCTTCATTTTCCCCTTACTATTAAAAAAGGAAGTATGTGCTGATTTTTAGTGTTATTACACAGGATAATATTCAAGGTATAGTTTATATATTACTTTTCAGAATAGTATCTTTTCATAATATATTCCCATCCAACCCTATATATCCAATTTGATATATCCATATTTTACACAATTAAGACCGGATTTTACATACTATTGGGGGATAAAATTTTCTCTGTTCATGTACTATCTTGAGAATATAATCAATATTTCCATAAAATTTTGCCATATTTGAAAGGTTAACATTATAGTCATGCCTTTTCTGAGGTATCATAACTTAAGTCAGCCTCTGCTCCAATGTTGGTCATTTAGGCTACTGCCATCTTCCACTGTTATAAACAACATGGAATTAACATTAATCTTTTGGCTTAGTCTTGTGGTAACTTATTCACTGCACCTTTACAATAATCTTTAATAACATTTTCAGAAATCTTTTTGGATGTTCTCACACAACTTTTCTTCTAGATTCACTTTTTTAGAATATCTCCCTTAAATACATGAGGTATTGTTTGAAGTGCAGTCAGTTTTACAGATTAATCTATGGGGAATTGATAAATTGATTCTTCTCATTGCTTTCTGAGGCAGTTGCTTATCAATTAAAGTGAATATTTAAATATTTATTAATGGTTTTAGGGGATGATTCATCAGTGGCTCCTAGAATTACAAGAAGGGAAATGAAACAAGATAGCACATGTCTCCTTATGGAACTTTGGAAAAGTCTAGATTATGTGAAATTTCAAAGGACAAGCAAGATTTATTCAACAAATAATGTGCAAGTGTACCAGGGAAGGGAGTGTAAGAATCTTATAAATACTCTAGAAACATATAAGCCAATTGTAATGTATGAATTTTGTTTATATCCTCATCTTAATGTAACAATTAGGAAAATATGAAAATTGTCTGCATATTTGATGATGTTAAGAAATTATTATTAATATTTTTAGGTGAAACAGGTATTAAATTTAAGTTTTTCTAAAACATTCTTTTTCTTTCTTTTGAGGTAAAGGGGATTGAACCCAGGGTCTTCACACTGAGCTACCTCTCCAACCCTTTTTGAATTTTGTGTTTGTTTGTTTGTTTGAGACAGGTACGTCCTAAATTTCCCAGGCTGGGCTCAAATTTGTAATCCTCCTGCCTCAGTCTTCCAGAGTGCTGGGATTACAGGCATGTGCCACCACCCTTGGCTTAAACAGTTCTTTTCTTTTAAGAATGTTACCAAGATCCTCATGATATGGCTGGGATTTGTGTCAGAATAACCTAGGTGAGGAGAGCAGGGAGGAAATAAGAGAAAGAAAAAAAAGACTGGTTGTGATCGATAACTATCGCAGCATAGAAATGGGTCCACGAGGGTTAATTATCCCATTCTCTCTACTATTGTGTATGTTTTAAGTTTTCCATAACAAAATGTTCTTGATATTGTGCTGAAATCAGTCATACTTCACTTTGTGGCTAGTTCTGTTCCCTGAATTAGTATTGTTCAAGCTGTGGTTTTGACCCTCCATCAGGACATGAAATGTAGTGGATTTCCACCAGCCTTTGTTTTACATGCAATAGAATAGATTAGACATGGCAAATTTATTTCATTCAGTATGCCCTACATTGGATTGGAAGTGGCTTCCTGCAGCACTGTTTTTAGCAGTTTTCTGAAGCCACATCCAGGCAGATCAGCGAAGGGTGCAGTGATGAAGATGTCTGTCAAAAACAGCGGTAAGAAAACAGAGGCAAGTATGCCACTTATTTGCCAGCAAGGCCCCATGGGTTTGGCTAGGACTGTATATCTGCCAAAGTCCTGTGATTGAAATCTAAAGGCTACTTCAATTGCTTTTAATTGTCACTGTGATGTAGCAGGAAATAAGGCTAGAAAAAGAAAATGAATGTCTATAATTTCCCTTGGACTCCGAAGGACATCTGCATGTGCAAGGTTGATTATTCTGTTTGGGCCAACCTCCCAATTTTCACCCAGAGTCTAAATCAGAATCAGGAAACATAATCCTAAAGGAAACCAAAACAGGGGAAAATATTGATGATATTAATTATACATACTATCACATGAACATAGAATATGTGCTTATATGCTATATATAAGCACATATAAAATCATTGCAGAAGTACATAGGAAATAGCCTAGCACCTATGATAGCATACAGTGAGTATGCAATAAAAGTTTGTTGCATTTAATGAAATTTTTTTATTAACATGTAATAATTGCATGTATTTATAGGGTATAGTGTGGTATTTCAACACATGTATACAAGCTTTACTGATGAGACCGGCGTATTTCTATCTTCTTATCAATTAAAATAATTTAAGTCCTCCTATGTCAATCTATTAAATGGAGCAGTTGCTTCCAACGTTTGAAAATAAATGATGATCACCCAGATGAGGGCTGTCAATACTATTTATTTAGAGCTTACTGTAGCAAAGGAGCCAGGCACCATCACAGAGACTCCTAGGCAGGCAGAGAAGTCGGAAGACTTCAGAGTGGACAAGGGAAGGCTTCAGGTGTGTTCTGATTGGAGGCTGTTGGCTAGGAAGCTGGAGGCAAGCGGACTAGAAGTGGGGCATCCTACATGATTGGGCAGGGGATCATATTTGGCTTTCTCTAACTGGGCCCAAGTTAAAAATGGGGCCAAAACAATTGTTATATCCCAGGCAATGAGAATCTCTCTGTCCTGGTCTGATTAGCCAGAACCCCTAACTTCCTACCTGGAGCCCAGGCCCTCACTCTCCAGTATATTTCAGATTCTTCCACTCATCTGTCGTTCGAGTCTTAATGACTCTCCTGAGACTTCTGCTTAATTCTGTTGGCCCAAACAAGTCTCATGGCCAAGACTACGTAAAAAAGCAGGAAAGTGGATCCCAAGTGCAGGGAGGAGTGAAGAATTGAGACAAATGACTCGCTGTACCTCATAGCACCTGTCTCTACCTCTGCATGCTGGTATCACAAAATCACTCCGGCAAATGGTGTTTCTACCGAAGGAATCTTCTAAGACACTGAGACTCTGAAAGTAAACTCTTGCCTCTTAAAGTCTGAAATTTTATTTGGTTATCTTAATAGTGGATTGCTAAGGTAATGAATTTAAATATATCTGTGTTTTCTTGAAGGTAAAAAATATTTTGCTTAAGCCAGGAAAAGACTATTTTTATTTTCTCCCAGGCTAAAATAAAGCCTATGACTTTAGTTAGATTTTTATTACAACAAAGAATTAAAAATTGTGTATTAAAGATTAAAATAATGAATAATACATTCTATCACTGTGAAAATTAAATGGGCTGATGCATGAGAAATGGTTAACAAGTACACATATAATCTCACTTATTGAGGGCTGGCTGCCTATTGAAATCTCACACTCAGATTGTACATTAGGACAGAAATTCAGTCTGTCAAAGGGCAGTGGGGACAGGCCTAGGAACCAGCCCTGGGAGGGGGAGTAGCCAGGCAGAGGCAGCCTACTTCCTAGGCCTTTCTAGGAGGCTCCATCAAAGACTGGAGCGGGGCCTAGCAAGAAAGGAAAGCATGGTGACCAGGAGACCGTGGGAAGGTGCTACACACAAGGACATCTAAGCAGACCATATCGAACCACAGGAAGCAGGGGGTCTTCTCATAATATGTGATTATGAGATATAAACTAAAAATAATTTGCCACTTCTTAAAAGTTCATTGCATCTGCTAGCTAATATTACTCTTATTTTGACATCTTTTAAATGTTTTAAGGAATTTCAAACAAATTCATCTGATGCTAATTCAGGCAATGCACATTTATAAATAATATAATCATAGGCACTTTTCCTAGCATACCCAGTGTGCCAGAAAAGGATGCCAAGGTGTACCATTCACCTTAGCAGGGCTTCTGATGATAGATACCCTGAATTTGAAGCCCAGGTCCACAATTTATCATCTGTATGATGCTGAAGATTATCTCACCTCTCCATCCCTCAGGTTCTTCATCTATAAAATGGGAGAGGATAACAAGAGGTCTGTCACTGACCTCTGCAGATAATGTGCTGGTCCATGGAAATATTAACAAATGTTAATACGTACATCGTCTTATGGCATAGGGTCCCCCAGATCCCTCACTCTTTTCTTTGTCCTGACTAAAACGTGGTGCTTTGGCTGCTCTGTGACCCAGCCAGTTGCAGGTTTTCTCCTATGGGCTTGAACTAAAATCAGGGCCTTGAACATTCCTGGCTGTTTGGGTTGTTGCCCAAACACTGGAAGAAACTAGATCAGCCCTGAGACAAACTCCTTAAACTTTCACATAAACGCCACAACTGGGCTCCTGCATTACAGACATATATGGGTAGAACGTCTCATCTTTCTGTCCATCAGGGAGAAGTCTTCAGCCCTTTGTATGTAAGTTTCCCTAATAAATGCCTTAGATTTATCACCCCCTTGTTCAGTGTTTCTTTGTTTGAAATACCAACAGGCCCCATCTCAGGATGTTTTGGAGCACTGTCTCATGGGAACTCCCGTCACCACTTTTGTGGTGACTCTAGACATGGTTTGGACATATGGAACACATGTCATCACAAAAACAGTGAGGACAGTCTGGCATTAACCCACGTAACAGATAAAAGAACAGGCTACCTGTCCAAGTTAATAGAAGTTCGAATTCACATCATTCTGACTCAGACCCACGCATGTTCTTACCCACTGTGCTATGCTAACCTCCCACCATGCATCAAGTCTGCTGCAATTTGAAAATGTCAGAATTATTTTGGATCTTGTGCATTTATTCTTCTATTTTGTCTATTTTTAACTTTTGACGAAGTTTTTTGCCAGTTTGTCTAGAGGGCCATTAATTCAAAATGGAATCAAGGTCCTAACAGACTACTGAGCCATAGCCTGAAAACCAAGGGAGTTACCAGTTCTAGGCTTTAGCAAGGGAGTGGCATCCCAGCAACCAGCTGGGAGCCAGTGGCAACCTAATGAGTGCAGGGGGTCAAGGCAGGAGGAGCAGTCTCACAGGAAGAGACATGGGCTTTTGCACTTTATCTGGTCTCCACAGTGACAGTTATCTATCAGTGAGAAAACAGAAATAGAAAGGTTAAATGGCATGCCCTTTAATTAAGTCTGTGGTCAAGATTTGTGCCAGAGCTTGCCATATGGGGAATGGAGAGGAAGAAGAAGGTGTTGGTGGGAAGAAAGGGGTCAGCCCTCATGACAAGCAGAGACCCATGACAGTTGACCCGAGGTGCAGCAGGTGGTGCATTGCACCTATGTACATTAGCTGTAGGGGCCCTTGGAGCTTGTCCAGGTGGAAAGGATCCAGGGTAGAACACCTGAAACAGGAATGGCCTCAGGAGTCTGTCTCCAGGCTGGGAGCTGTCCAACAGGCAGAAGCAGTTCCTGGAGGAAGGAAAGAGGAAGTTAAAATGAAAGGAAAGAAAAGAGAGAGAGGGAGGGAGGAGGAAAGAATAAAGAGAAAGAGAAAGAGAGAGAGCGCTGAAGGCCAGAACCCATAGTGTCACCATGTTGCCTAGCAACAAGAGCAAATCCTTTACAACCCTAGAGCACTAACTCAAATCTGCAGCTGCCTTGGGCTACAACTTGGAAACTAGGACAGCAAAGCATCCAATTTCATTTTGCCTATGATCAAATGAAAGAAAAATACATGAGTTGTATATGAGCTAGAAAAAACAGAAAACCTGCCTAATGGCAACTTATCCACACAAGTATATTCATCACTCCTAACAAAATGTCTGGAGGTTGGTAATTCCTGGGTTGTTCAGACTCTCTGTGATTCCACTGGCTTTCTTCTCAGGGTCACAAGATGGCTGCCAAAGCCCTCAGCACTGCATCTTCACACAACGATCCAAGCAGGAAGGAAAAGGACTGATCCTTCTCTTAGTACAAATCTCTCTTAATGGGGCTAAAGAAAACTGTTCCCTGAAACTCACCCAGCAAACATCTCTCCTTACATCTCACTGCAAGAACCTGGTCATATGGCCAGTTCCCTAAAGTAACTGTTGTCAAAAGGAAATGGGGTCTCATGGTTAGCTTAACCAATCCTAATTTCTCTCGCCTGAGACTGGGAGTTGTCTGCCAAACAAAATCAGGCTTCTTTTAACAAGTTTAGGAGACAACAGTGGCTCCATATTCTACCCTTAGCTTCCCTCCCAGGGAACTTGGTCTCTGATTAATCAGATCCATTAGGCCTGTTCACAGAAGATAGGAGAGCTCTTCCTAATGATGGGCGTGAGGTGAGGGCTAGTTTCTGCTCATTGTACCACTGAAGTTCTTACCACAAACATTACCCATGGGATCCAGGTGGGGTTGTTCTCCACAGGAAGTTCTTCTTCACCCACACCAAGGATACAGCACGTCAATACATCTTAAAACAGATCAATTCCACAATAAATTCACTAGGTAGGGACATTTTACTGGAGATTTCACAGAAATGGAAACAGAGAAGTGGAGAACACATAGCCCTTCACTCCCACAATTCCACCCTCAACAGCACTTCAGATCATCCTCTTTGGTAGCTCATCATCCCCCCAGCTGTGTCCTTCCTTTACATTTCCTGAACAGAAGCTGCTGAGCAATCTGCACTTGTCCCCAGCTTCCTTTACCCACTCAGCCAAACAAAGGTGCAATAGCAACTAAACATTTGTCTTCAACCAAAGCAATTAAAATTATCATCCAAGGATACAGATGTTGGGAAGTGGATAAGTGGGAGAGCAAGGGAAGAAAGGTGGAGATAAAAGTGACAATTTCAGGCAGGGAATATTGAAAAGTGAGTGTTGCTTGCTACGTCCTTGTGTAGGTAACCATTGTTAGGTCACCCAAGAGCAGCTAACTTTTACTATTAAAATCTTCTCTCAGTGGGATAAAAAATATACCCAAAGAATGAAGCAGTCACTCCAGGTTGTCATATCTTATTTTCACTAGTTTTAATTTCATGTTCAAACTTTTTCCTGTATGGATGTGTGTCTGTGCATATTTATATGTGTTTTAAACATCAAGGTTAGTTAGCAAAATGGAGGGCTGCCTAAACCCCTCAAGATTTTGCTATAGTGAAGTCAATTTTTACATGCTTCTGACTGATAAAAGCAGCCAATTATTAGGGCCTCTCCAGAGTCTGCTAGGTATGAGGGCTTGCCATGTTGTCTCTCTGTTGAAATCCAGCCAAGGGATAAAACTCGCAAAGACTCCCTAAACTCAGGCTTCTGAGAACAGAGGCTGAGAGAGCTCACAAAGAGGGTGCACTTGCTATCTTATCGGTGATGGAAAGTGTAGTTGAACAGAACTTCTGGGGTCATTGAAAAATTTTTAAATGACTTGTCTAAGATGTTCTTCCCTGGTTCTCCCATGGGCAAACTGCTCTCTCCCTGTTTCAGATTTCTATTGTATGAAATACACACACACACACACACACACACACACACACACACACACACACACAGAGTGGCTTAAAACTACAGTGATTTATCAATTCTCCAGAGTCTGTGGTTTGACTGGGATGCTCTTCTACTCCATGAGTGTTGGCGGCATGGTTGTCAATCACACAGCTTGCATTCAGCAAGGAGCTCAGCTGGGGAACCCCCTTCTCCTTCCTGTGGTCTTCCTTTCTATATGTGCTGTCTCTTTCCAAAAGGACAGCCTAGACTCCATTATTGCTTGGTAGCTGGGTTCCAAGAGGGTTTGTTCCAGAAGACAACCCCCAGCTACAACTGGGCACCCAATCTCTACTTGTGCTATACCTGCTAATAGCCCATTGGCTGAAAAGTCCTATAGCCAGTTTGGGAGGAGACTGCACAAGCGGTTCATAGGGAGCTCCAATGTAACTGTCTCAAAGCACCAGTTCCTTTACTTCTCTGGGGAACATAATATTCTGCAGGAAAAGCAACTGTGGGCCCCTGTGGCTTAAAGACTCTGAGTCAACAGAAACAATCTGTAACCAAATGTGAGTATAGAATTAAGTTAAAGAGAATTTTAGAATGTGTTGTAAAGGTTTGTTACTTGGTGCTATGAATAAAGTATCAATAGGAGTCAGTGAAAATATAAGGGGCCTCTAAATTTTAATCTTTAAGAAAGGTTTAAATTATAGAGTCTGGAAGATAGTGGGTGTGCCTAATTGAGACTTGCCTTCAGAAATGTTCCTTGATCTGCCTCTTTCCTATCATTAGTACCTTAGTTCGTTCACACTGTATGGGAGGCAGCAGGCGCCACTCTACACACTACGGTAGGTGCTTCATTCTATTACACCTCTCACCTTCTCCTACCCGGACTCTGGCAATGGCCAGTAGCTTTTCTTTCCACCCCAACCACATGTGCTCCAGTGTCTTTGTCCAAAACTGCAAATCTTTAACCCATTTTGTTTCAGCCTTTAAACCTCTGACACTGTGAAATCTAAACCTTCTAGACAGGCTTTTGAGGCCCTTTAAAACCTAATGTTCATCTACTTTCTTTTAAATGGATATTTTTATATAAAAGTTCAAGTCATGACTCTCATATAAATATAAAATGAACATGTCACCGATTTTATTTAGCTCATTAATTAATGAATAACGGATAAGATGTTTAAAACTGACATGTACATAGGCACTGAGAAATGCTGAAATAAAGTCATTAATAAATGCAAAACTAAATGTTTCTGTGGGTAGGGTTCAAGGTTACAGGAGGTAGAAAGTAGATGGTACTCACCTGACATTTTAATTTCTATAGAATCATCTGCATTACTATCAGTTTTCTACAGAGTGGTAAAAGCTCAAAAATAGTGAAAGTTGCAGGCTGCTATGAAAGAGGGCACTAGACAATTCCTGGTGTCTCCGAGGAGAGCACTAGTCATTTTTGTCTCTTCTTTTTTCTTTGTTTTTTGTTGATTTGAGGAGGGTGAGAAGAGGGTTTAACTCTTTCAAAGTCTGTTATGACTTTTTGACACGTCAGCAGCTCCTCCAGCCCTCTATCCTTTGCTGTAGTCACACTGTTCTCTTCACAGTTGCCTAGGAAAACCCCAGCACTTCTGGCCACTTTCTGCATGGAGTGGATCCCTTCTGTGTTTGGAATCTCCTATCAAAAATTATTTCAGTTTCTTCACAAATACTTCCTTCTACACCAAGGATGGACCAAGGAGTGAGGATTCTGAAGTGAAGAAGAAAGACTAGGTCCTAGCATAGACAGGGAACTTGTACTTTGGGTGGTGCAACTGACCTTGGATAATCAGAGTTGAGGAAATGCACTGATGTCCGTCCAACCACTGTGTAACTGTGAGTGCTGATGGCGCTTCCCGGCATAGTGCACAAATTTTTCCACTGTTGATCATTCAAAGAGAGAAAGAAAGAAAAGGTAACCACCAGAGGAGCAAGAGGTGGTCGATAGCCCAACAACCAAGAGAGGCATGGTGGTGCCTATAATCCCAGCACTCTGGGAGGCTGAGGCAGGAAAATCACAAGTTTAAACCCAGCCTGGGCAATGTAGTGACTTAACACTGTATCAAATTGACAAAAAGGACTGAGGACATAGCTTAGCATAAAGGCCCCAGGTTCAATCCCTACTACTGAAAAAGGAAAAAAAAAGTGCAAGCACAATGGTGAGGTCCAGTAGGAATACAAATTAAATATACCCATGTGTTTTAGAAACCACCCTTTGCAGAGTGTTTGGATGGAAAGATGGAAACAGAAGTCATGTTACTGAAGGCTACCAAATAAAGTAGTGGGTATAGAATTACGGAGGTTAAATGTAGTTTTTTTAAAAGAACTAGGGATTCTATTATAAAGCTAAATAAGAGAAATGCTAAATAGTTTATGAGGTTAGAGTATAGTAAATAAAAGGTGATGTAAATAAATTTTAAAAGGGGCGGGTCCTCAGGCGACGTGGACGCGCAGGGCGTAGCCCGAGAGCTACATGCGTCCGCTCACGCTCACGTCTGAGCCACAGTCGGGGAAGAATGAAAAGGAGCTGCCGCCAAAGCCCAAGAAACAGAGTCCACCAAAAATAAGTCCGCCCAGGCCCGTGCGCCCGCCGAGCCCTTCGACAACACCACCTACAGGAACCTGCAACGCCGCAACTACAGCACGTACACCTTCCTGGACCTGAACCTGGACCTCTCCAAGTTCAGGCTGCCCCAGCCCTCCTCCGGACTGGAGTCCCCTCGGCCCTGAGCACCTAGTCCTCTGCCCGCTCAGTTCCCGCCTGCGGAAATAAAATCGCTCAGGCGTCATGGGCGGGCAGGGGTGGGAGGGTGAAGTGCTAAAAATGGGAAGAGAAAGGTACATCACTAAATTATCCTCCAAAGAAAAGTCTATACATTGTGATACAGAAAGCACAGAATTTGGAAAGGAAAAAAAAATTTGTGTGCAATCCTGGCTATGATACTTAGGGCTTGTTCTTCAGCATTGTTGGACTTCAGTTTTCTCATCTGTAAAGAAGGGGAAAAGTAATCTTTCTATGTTGTTGGTGGGAATGTAAACTAGTACAATCCTTATGGAAATCAGTATGGAGATTCCTCAAAAACTAAAAATACGAATTCCGTTTTACCCAACTGTTCCCCTACTAAGTATCCGGTAAATGCCCCCAAAAGACTTAAAGACATCATATTACAGTGATACATGCATACCCATGTTTATAGCAGCACAGGTCATAATAGCTAAGTCTTAGAGGTAGCCTGTATGTTCATCAACAGATGAATGGATAAAGGAAATGTGTTATTTGTACACAATGGAAGACTGCTATAAAGAAGAATAAATTTGGGGCCAGGGATTTACCTCAGTGGTTCCGCCGCTTGCCTTGCAAGCGCAAGGACCCGAGTTCGATCCCTGGTATCAAAAAAAAAAAAAAAAAAAAAAGAATAAATTTGAGTCATTCGTAGGAAAATGTATATACCTAGAAACCATAATTAAATGAAATAAATCAAACATACAAGTTTAAATAGCACATGGTCTCTTATATTAGAAACCCAAAGTATAAGTAAATAAGTATAAGCAAAATAAAAGATAGATTATAAGGGGCCGGGGATTTAGCTCAGTGGTTCTGGCGCCTGCCTTGCAAGCGCAAGGTCCAGAGTTCGGTCCCCAGTACCGAAAAAAAAAAAGATAGATTATAGGAAACAGGGAGATAGATCTTTTGCAAATGGGAAAGGGACCAAGAGATGGAGGGAGGAGGATGGAGGGAAGGAAGTAAGAAGAAGTAAGATGTGTCATTTATATATAACAACTACCCACAATGAATGTAGTCATCACAAACATGTACTAATAAAAATTAAATAAGAATTTGTACTTCAGGCTGGGCATGGTGATACACACCTGTAATCCTAGCTACTTGGGAGGCTGAGGCAGAGGATCACAGGTTCGAGGAAGCCTGAGCAACGCAGCTAAAAATCTAAAAGTTAAAACTTAAATATAATAAAGGGTTGGATTTGTGACTCAGCATTCCTTGGATACAATCCCCGCTAATGAAAATAAAAATTTACTTTTCAGAATCAATTTCTCACAAAGCCCTGGGAGACTATCTTACTGTGCTTGGATTTTCTTCACTACAGAGCAAGGCTCAGCAAAAGGACGAGCATTGTGGCTGGGCACAGTAGATCCCAGGAAGCTCTAGAAGCCAGGTGTCCTGAAAATGTGCCCTACCTTTCTGCATTATTAATCAGATCCCAGAAAGGCTCTGTGATGGAGACAAACAGAAAAAAACCACTCTTTTCTAACATGAACAAAGCAACACAGCCCTCAAACAGCTTGAAGTAAAAGGGCTACAAAACACTAGGTTTCCTACAACGAACCTTCCTACCCACGGCCTTCTCCCAAATCCATCATTTCTACACATGTATGCATGTACACACACACACACACACACACACAGGCATGTACACACACACACGCCCCAGGAAATTCAACTTCTGGCTAATGGCATGACATTAGGTTTCCTTTCTGTCCTAAAGATGGGAAAACCAGCTGGGCACAGTGGCACATACCCAAAATCCCAGCCCTTAGGCTGAGGCAGGAGAATTACAAGTTCAAGTTCTGCCTGGGCAACTTAGCCAGACCTTTTCTTAAAATAATTTTTAAAAGGGGGCCAGCAATGTAAGTGGGGGTCAGTGTTAAAGGGCTCCTGAGTTCAAGCCACAGTACCAAAAAAAAAAAAAAGAGGTGAGGGGGAGACTACTATGTTTTCTTCACTCTCTGTCCTCTAGGTAGCATCCTAATTTGTCTCCACTTAGCCACATAGCATAGGACATGAGCTTTTGAAATTAATGATGCTTTCTAAGAGTAATTGCTTCTGCTCTAATCACATGCTATTTCTTGCTACCCACGGGACTAAACATTAGGATTGCTTAAAGGAATAATCAGCAAATTGCCCAAAATGCACCTCTCTCAAGCCTCCGAGTCACATAATAAGTGGTTATGAGTCACTCTCAGCCAGGTAGTCACCTCACACCTCTGACAAAGTGGGCTTGCATGTCAGAATGCTTCTCAGGAGGCAAATTAGAATGTGGGCAGGGGCTGATAAGTGCTCATCCTTTAAAAAAAACTTTCCATTTTAAAAAATTGAGATGAAATTCATGTAATGTATAATTAACCATTTCTAATTATACAATTCAGTGGTGTTTAGTGTTCACAATAGTGTACAACCACAAGCTTTCTCTAGTTTCAAAACTTTTTCATCACCTCATAAAAAAACCCTGTGCCCACTCAGTAGTCATTCTACACCTTTCCAGTTACTATCTTCTGGTTACCTTTAATCCACTTTCCTGCTCTAAAGATTTGCCTATTCTTGGATACGTCCTATAAAAGGAACCACAATATGAGACTGTTTGTGCCTAGATTTTTTCACAGGTCAAAGTTTTCAAGGTTAATTCATGTTATAGCAGGAATCAGTATTTCATTCCTTTTTATTGTTGAATAATATTCCATTGTATGGATATGACACAATTTATTTATTTCATCTATCAATGGACATTTGGGTTTTTGACTCCAGCTGTTTCTGATGGGCCTTCTTTCCTTCAGCTCATGAAAAATATTAGACTAGAATAACATCCATGAAGTCTCCAACATTACAAAACCCCTAGTGGATACCTGAAACCATGGTAGTATCAAACCTAATTTATACTGTATCTTTTCTTATACATATTGTGATTGCAACTTTTGCACTTTGAGGTACAATAACAAGAGTAGCAAGAATTTTTTTCTTCCCTGAAATTTCACAGATGAAGATTCATTCTTAGCATAGGTTTTAGCAACCCCAGCATACCATTTTTCTTCTTTCCTTATTAAGTAAAGAACTTTTGCCAGGGATTTAGCTCACTGGTTCTGGCGCCTGCCTCACAAGTGCAAGGTCCCGAGCTCGATCCCCGGTACCAAGAAAAAAAGAACTTTTACTTTTTACTGAAAGGAAGCCCCTTTTGGCTTTCCTTTGGCATATCCAAATTGCCAGTATCACTACTCTTGTAATTTATGGTCATCATTAAGTGAAACAGAGGCTACTGAATACAAGCACTTTGATACCACAACTGTCAATTTGATAACCAAGATGACTACTAAGTGACTAATGGGCAGGTAGTGTATACAGCATGGATACACTGGACAAAGGAATGATTCATGTCCCAGTAGAGTTGGAACATAACAGTATGCTCCTCAGAACAGTGGGCAATTTAAAACTTACAAGTTATTTATTTCTGGAATTTCCCATTTTATATTTTGGTATTGTAGATGACTATGGGTAACTAAAATCGTCTTAAAGTCACTATAAAGAAAGCCTGCTGCATGTCCCCAACAGTGGAGCACATCATCAGGAACTGAAAGATACACAGTATTGCCAGAATCATACCTCAAGGCTCTTAAATGCTTATCTCTGGTACTCCAAGATGGGACATGGAACAGCTCAAATTCAACACATCCGAGGAACATCATGCTGACATGCATGGAAGTGACTTACCCAATCTTGACACACTCTCAGCTGAGCTTCATTGTTGGAGAAATCAGAGGAAGAGATACAGAACTTCCATCCACCATTCATGAAGCCCTCTATCTGTGCAATATCAAGCTTTTTCCCTAGTGTGTATTCCTTGCTGAAGATCCTATGTATCTTCCTGTGATGAACAGATGAGTGCTATGAAAATGGATGAAAGCATCACAAAGTGTACTTGACAGGCCAAAGATCAAAGGCTTTTCCTAACATAAATTTTGATATCAATCATGATCTAGAAATAAATATTTTTAAAAACATGATCTGGATTTAACAGTGGACAAATATCAGAATATATACAATTAAGTCAGAGCTCTGTACTGATAATTCAGAAACCATTGAAAATACCTGAAACTTTTTTAATGGGCTTTTCTCTTATATTGATATTTGGGAGAAAAAGCCATGGATGTATGGAGGCCACTTAATCACTGAATACTTTTGCCTATAGGTCTATCATTGAATATACTGGGCTTTGATAATCTACATCTTAAGTGACTCCTGTTTGAACTCTCATGCTTCCAAGGCTGGTCTGTTCTTCCAGAAGATGGCATTAGAAGAGCCATGCTTCAACTCCATGTGACAACGGCAAGTGGCACACTGGAACTGTTTTAGTTAAAACATTTATTATCACCATGGGTCCATTTGTCAGGTACTGAGTTATTAATTTTTGATAAAATAAATTTTGAGGATTGTGGGAGAAATGAATGCATCTTATAAAATATTACAGTGATTGCCGAGCATGGTGGTGCATGCTGCAATCCCGCACTTGGGAGGCTGAGGCAAGAGGATCGCTGAGAGTTTGAGGCCAGCCTGGGTGACATAGTGAATTCAAGGCCAGCCTGAACTACAGAGCAAGATCTTGTCTCAAAAACACAAAACAAGAACAAAAAAATGTTGTGGTGATGCTCACCATTGACCTTTGATTAGTAGTTTAAAATGTGTTTTAAAAATGTGTAATAGGGAAGGAGGCATAAAAAGAATTATACAGATGTGTTATGCACATGTACCAACACCCCGCGATGGATGTAATCATTATGTACTGCAAGCATGTACTAATAAAAATAAAAATTAAAAACACAAGTAAATTTTCAAAAAGAAATCAGAGAAAAATTCTGTAATGGATAGAGAGAAGTTTCTGAGCTTACCAAACAGATTTCAGTGTGGACTTTGTCTTCATCAAACTTACTTAAGGGGACAAATTACAACTGAAGTTAGAATAGAAGAGCTTGCCATTGTTCCACATCTTGCTGCTGTTTACATTTGTTAAGATTACACTTCTTAAGCTTTTTAGCAGGTCGGTGTTGAAGACTTCTGCTCTATGGTTAAGACAGAATCACAGCCCATCCATGAAAGCAAGTGACTTGTCTGTTTTCTTCTGCTTTTCCCATGACTATATCTACCCCTTCACCATGATTCATAAGCAAAACCTGGAAAACCCACAAAATGAGTGTAGTTTATCTAGAAATAATACAGAAAATTTTAGTTATTTTTGGTTGTGGAAAATCAATTGTATAGAGTTTATTTCAGTCAAAATAAAATATGAATTTTGTTTAAAAATAAAATTAAGGAAAATGATGGACAGAAGCTAAATATTGTTGGGTTTTTTGGGGGGGGTGGGGGGGTGGTACCAGGGATCAAACTCAGATCCTTGTGCTTGTGCAGCAGGTGACAAAACCACTGAGCTAAATCCCTGGACCTAAATATTGTGCACAATGTAAAAAAACAAAATGGAAGGATATATTAGAATACATCAAAAGACCTGGAAATTACTGAATCTTCCCCAAATTCAATTCATAACACACTAAAGCAGTCAGATCAACATCAATATGATAATGAGATTAAAGAAAGGTCTATTGCTGAACATAACTTTGGAATCTTAAAATCTAGAAAATCTTTAAGATTTAGAGTATGGATAGTTACCAAGTTTTTAGAAGTGATCATTTAAAGGTTATGGTATACCCCTTGTGGATTAGAGGTAAGTAATAAAATTGCATTTACTTATAATTACATTGTTTCTGATCTAATTCACATCATAAAATAAGTAGGTCACTGGCCATTTTCAGTTACAAAGTTTGGTTCAATTTAAGCAAAATAACTAAACTGGTTTATCTGAAACTTGAAAGCCAATATTCAAAGGATTGGATGACTCTTTAGTGTTCACTCAAAAGAGATGTTCTACTAGGACTGGAAATCCCATTTGACCCAGCTATTCCACTGCTGGGGATCTTCCCCAAAGAATTAAAAGAATCATACCATAGTGATATATGTGCACCCATGTTCATAGCAGCACAGTTTGTAATAGCTAAAATTTGGAAACAGCCCAAATGCCCATCAACTGGAGACTGGATAAAGAAAATGTGGTTTTTTTATAAAATGGAGTACTACTCAGCCATAAAAAATGAGAAATTAGAGACATTTATAGCTAAGTGGATGCACATTGAGGCAATACTCTTAAGTGAAATAAATAGGACGCAGATGTGTAAATATCGAATAGTTTCTCTGGTGTGAGAAACTGAAAGTGTAAATAAGGACTAAATGTATAATAGGTCATGTGAACTAGGAAGAAAAGGGGCAAAGAGGAAGGAAGTGGGAGGGCTAAGGGAAAGGATAGAAGGGAATGGGATGAATATGAGAAAATGGAAAAATAGGAACAAAATTTTTGTAAATAGGGAGGGCTGGAGGGGTTGAAGGGAGGGCTGGGCAAGGGTGAAAAATAAGAACCAAGAGAGACTATGTAAAGGTGCAAATTTCCAATGATGAATGTCATTATATTGTATACCTAAAATGTACCAATGATTAGAATGAATAATCGATAATGTAAAATAGGAAGAAAAGGTCCAAAGGGGTAGGGGTAGTGGGAGGCACAGGGGAAAGGAAAGAAGGGAAAGGAAAAAATGATGAGAAATGGAAAAAATGGAAATAAAGTCTTTGTAAATAGGGAAGGGTGGAGGGCGTGAAGGGAGGGCTAGGAATGGGGAAAAAATAAGAACCAAGATGCATTATATAAAGGTACAATTCCCAATGAGAAATGTAATTATGTTGTATACCTACAATGTACCAATAAAAGAATTTAATACCAAAAAAAAGAGATGTTCTAATGCCATATAAAGCTTACTCAAATGCTAATTATATCATTATATATAAGCTAGGACACAAAGTACTTTAACAAAAGGTTAACTTTGGCAACCTGTGTATGTAAGTTTATTATTTCATTTTGTGTTATTACTTCAATGAAATACCTGAGATAGGCTAACTTTATAAAGAAAAGAGATTGATTTAGTTCACAGTTTTGGAGACTGAAAGTCCAAACAACATCACATCAACCTGGTGAGAGTCCCATGGCAGGTGGCAGGAGCACATAAGGGAGGAAGAAGTGATCACATCTCAAAAACAGGAAGCCAGAGGGTGTCCCAGGGGCCAACTTCACTCTTATAACTCACTCTCACAAGAGCTCAGGAATCCACAAGAGCTTTCTAAATCTCTTCCAAGGGCAGCTTCCCTACTGATCTAAGGTCTTCTCTCACTGCCCCCCACACCTCTCAGCACCATGACACTGGAACCAAGTTCCCAACTCATGAACCCTTTCTAAACTGTGACAGTAAACTATGAATCTCTTCAAAGAGGTTATACTACAGAAGAAAACTATACACAACTCTATGGCCTCGAGGTTCCACGAGAACAAAGGTAAAATTTACCTGTCACAGGAAGTCAAAGCACACATATTTCTCATTCAAGACAAGTTTAATTACAAAACAAACATTCTTCTACCCTTATTTATATGTTTCCTTTAGAATTCATCATTTTATATTTTACAGTGTTCTAAGGCAAAGAAAATTTAAATTCAGAGTATGACATTTGAATCATAAGGTTCTGGAGCTACAGAGAGACAGAGTTAACCAAGTAAGAGGCAGATTTGTTGCCATGTGCTGTTTGGATAATCTGACCAAAATCATTAAAATGTCAATACCTGGAAACTTAGAGCAGCGTATCATTTTGTCCTTTCAGGGTATGATATTTATAAAATTAACAGCCAAAGAAGTAACCTTATTAATTCCAGGAAGAGCTAGTCCACAGCAGTTTGCATAAGTTAGAAAGTTCATGAGTTTGTAGCTCTAGGAGAAAGTAGCTTGTCCACAGCATGGCATATTGTGACATAGTATGCATCAGGCATGTCACCTACAAGGATGACCACCCACCTTTAGTATCACCAACTAGAAACATCCTGCCAAACCCATCCATGTCTCCTCTCTCAATGAAGGAAGGCAACTTCCATATACAGTGTTTGTATGAATCATGTAGCCTTGTTGGCTCCTCCTGCTTCAGATGAAATAATGAAATAATTCCTCCAATCCACAATATTCTCTTGGATCCTCTACAGAACTTCAGGCTCCACAAGTAAGTCATCCTCGTATCTGAGCAGTGTATTACCTATAACAACAGTACGCTCTTCCACAGCTACTGAAAACAAATTGGCTACAAGTTTTGCAGAAAATGGATCATGACTTTCATCTTTTTTTGTTTGTTTTTTGTTTTTTACTTAATCAGGCATATGGAAAACAAGGGAGTCCTGTTTTCACTCTGGAGGAGCTAATGATCATGAGAAGCTCCATCAAGATGTCATTACCTTTCCCACAGCCACTCTGAATGGTATAAACAGCTTGGTCTCTCACACTCACCAGTTTCCATACTGATTTTCTGGCTACTGAACTTCTTAGAGATCACTTTGTGCAGCTTCTGCCTCAGCCTGTTCATCATTTTTGGGAACAGATCCTGATGTGAGCTGTTACCAAACACTGCCCCATCGAACATAGCAGGCTTGGTGGAGTCAGGAATGCTCGAGGTGGAGGTGGGGCCAAGAGCAGAAAAAGAGCTTCCAGCACCACTGGAAGAAGAGGAGGAGGTGGTAGAGAGGTCAGCTGCAAACTTGCCTGGGGCAAAAAGCCTAACTATGGAAAAAAATATTCCTATATCTTCCACCTGCTGGTTTACCTCTTTCTTATGCAATCTTTTCCCATCTGAGTAAGGAAAAGGACTACAACATAAAGAGAAAGTGACCCACCAATATTTTAGCATAGACTATAAAATCACTACTGCCAGAGCTTTTTGAGATTTCTCTAACCATTGTAATTTCCCCCACCTGCGTTATATTGGTTGCTCCTTCCCTATGATTAACGGGAAAAGATTTAAAACAAAAAAGACCTAGGGGCTTGTGTGGCCCATGCACTAAGGGCCTTGAGTTCATCAGGCACATCCTTGTGCTATTGCTGCCAAAGAGCATTCAGACTGTCTTACATGGAAAGCATCATGGCATTGTGCAATGAGAGGAAGAGTAGTTCTGTTCCCAGCCAAGATCTCTATTAGAAAGCATCTCTTTGTGCTTCAGAGACTACAGCAGTAAAGTTTATTGAGGTTAAGAAGAGACACCAGGCAAAACATCATATTGCCTCCATTTGTTAGTGAAGCAGATAAAAACCACTCCCAGCAAAACCAGAACCACCTCAACATTTGGCGACACATAATGAAAGAAACCAGTCTCCATAGGAATCAACTAATGGAAATTGAGTAAACATTAATTTTCTGCAAGCAATTGAAAAAGTAGAGTTAGGGGCCTTGATAGAAGGGCACCACCAACCACAATTAAGCTCAGCAGAATGAGAACCACTGGGACAAACAAAAGAGGCACGAAAGGGTCTGGATATAGAAGATTGATATGAATGGCTTATTCTGTGGTCTATGGGCTGAGAATTCTGTATCAGTCAGCTTGCTTTAAGCAGCAAAGCATCAAAACCTAACCCAAGTTAGGTTAAATTATAAGGAGATGTATTGGCCCACTGAGCTGGAAGACCAGATGTACAGCGGTTCCATCTCCATTTCTCTGACCCCCTACCCTGGCTTGACTCCATGTTCAGACTGGGTAAGAGACAGCTATAATATTTCCTAGCTTCACACCACACATAGCAAAGCCTTGAAAAACTCTGTAGGTCTCTCTGCAGAGTGAATAAACTTTTCCTAGAATCCCCCAGAAAACTTCCCAAATTACATGACATTTCTAATTCAAGCATTGCAAAAGGTTGGAATTACAATTATTGCCTTAAACAATTCAGGCAGCCTGCCACAGACAACCCCACACCCAGCATGGTTGTTCCTCAGTGGTGGAAGTTATGAAGAATACTAAAGAGATAGCA